TCTTGCATTGAGAAATTTGCACCCAAAGTCCATAGTCCATGATAAGACTTCAAACAGTCAATACTTTCTTAATTTTACTGCTACATACCTCTAATAGAGATCAATCAACCGGAAATCTTCCAAAGATTTAAAAAATGTACAATTTTTTTAAAAATTGAACCATGGCGAGTGCTACAATGTCTTAAAGATCGTTTTTTTTGGGACACCCTGTACATATATAGGATACATTGCAGTCATCGTCGTATATATAAATACAATGAAGACGACTTTATATTTCAATTTAGATATCAAACAGCTTGAATATGCATAAAGGAATCAAGGATAAGCTACCAAATAAAGATTTTTTAGTGTTTACTTGCAATTTGCTTGTTAAAAATCAAAACCTGATTAGGAAAATCGTCTTGATTGTATTGATTTATAAACGTTGGCCACTGTATAAAGCTATACAATAAATTATAGGATACGATAAATTTTAGGATATACTAGACTTTAGGATACAATATATCATAGGATATACTAGACTTTAGGATACAATATATTATAGGATATACTAGACTTTAGGATACAATNGATACAATATATTATATGAGTCGATGCATAAATAGAATAAAATACATTGTAGGGTACAATAGATTATGTGATAAAATGTATTATGTAGAATACAATATTCGTGATACATGGTTTACGCAATAAAATATTTAAAATAAAAAAACATATACAATTTACAAAATACAATCCATTATATCTAATATATACATATAATACAATTTTTAGAATACATTAAATGGGATACATGATATATGATTCAGTAGAATACGATTAAAAGGTTACAGAATTACAAGATACAGAATACAGGATACAGGATATAGTTAAAGGGACAGACCGGCTATGTAAGGTAGATAAACTGAGTATGCAGTGTTGTGGACAAATATTTTAGGATTCATTTGAGACATATAAAACGTTTCCAAGATGTATAATTACTAAGTTTGAGAGCAAAGTCGACGTTAAAAATCATGAATTTGGGTGGGTACGTTTTCAGAATCTGCCCCTTTAAGCATAAGTTTATGAGGTTAGCAAACTGCCTGCATCTAATGCATGAAGCCTGCAGGTTAAAGTTATATATTGTTATTATTTGAGATTCCGTTACAAAGTTTACAGAAATAGATTTAGCTTAATGAAAGTTTTCAAACTGATTTCAATTCCATTATTCCATTAGATTTATCCGTAATTATTAAGGATTGATAAGCAACATTTGCAATATTCAAACATTAATATTTTTTAAATATATTCTCAATTTTGTTTTTTAAATATTTTTTTTCTTCCGTAATTCAGCTATGCTACATAGATTAACGCAAAATAAGTAAGATAAGTTTTTTTATTTAAAATTCTTAATAATAACAACAATATTTATTTGTTTACAGGTGAAATGTTTTTGGATCTTGAACAGTGTACAATGAACAACGTACAGTGTACACTGTACACTGTACAATGGGCACTGTAGTGTACAACGTACATTGCACCTGTACTTTGAATATAAAAGCAAGCTTGATAGGATAGAAAACAGGAAGTCAGGGCCCAGGACTCAATTACTCAAATAAAAAAAAATCAGAAAACAAGAATTGTGATTTTTTAAACTATATGTTGCTTTTCTTAAGACCAAAAAATGTCAAGAAAAAAATTAAAACTTAAACAATGATTTACATATATGTTGATGAAAAGTAATAATTTTTGTAAAGTTTAAACTAAAAAAATTAATTATTTTAAAACTAAATTGTAGAACAAAATTGTGATGAAAACGAAATGAAAATGTTTTTAGATTTTCTTTAATCCACAGCACAGAGTGAATAAGAGGGGTCCGAAGGGGGGAGATTCGTTCTTTTTGTTGCTTTTCTGTGATGAAGTGCTTGGCCTTGTTTGAATAAGTGTTTGTTTCGGTAATATCTGTATTTTAATATAATATTTATTTTTATTCACCAATGAAGATTACATGTATTTTTTAATGCTTTTCCAAAAGGCAGGAATTTCTTTTCGAAGAAGAAATATTATGCACCAAAGGATTTAAAAACTTAAAATATGCAATATAGATTTGTTGTAGATTTTTATCAACTTAGTGGGGCTAACGTCAATTTTCTAATTTTAATTCTGACAACTTCCTCCGTGGTTTCGGAGGAATAAATGCGCAAGTAACTTTATTGAGAAACTACAATTAAAAATTATTTTTATATTTGCTTTGTTTATCCTTGTACCGTTAACAGTCGAACATGCCACTCTGTAAATGAAGAACATCTTGAAATTACAAACTTAATAATTTTGATAAGAAAATTATGTATATTTCTAACCTGCGATGCTCTGGGTTGAATTCTTCCAGGAAAGTACATTGTCTCCTCTCTATCCAGAATACAACGTAAAATATTTTTTATCTAAAGTTTTTGTCTTTTTTCTCTCAAATTTTTTATCTTCCACGGTTAGCAATTAAGGAAAAATTATACATAACCTATTTTCATCTTCGAAATCAATCCCTTTAAAACATTTCTGATTCCATATGGGATTTGAATTGGAAGTTCTTTTCCCCTAAATGAAATGTATTTTCTGTGTCATTGTATAGTGTACTACATTTCAGAAATGTGTGTTGAAAGATGTATATATCAGTAATCAAAATAAGATATAAGTTATAATATATAGGAATAGTTTAATAGTGTTCCAACGCGTCAGATTCAATTAAATTTCAAGAATGAAATTTTACATGTTTTTAATAATAACTCCTTTTTGTGAAAAGCTAATGAGCATTAGTTTTAAATGTCGTTTAATCAACCATGGATTAATTTACTTTTCTCATCATTGAAAGTTAATAAAGTCGCCCAAGTAGTGTAGAATAATTTCTTACTTAACACAATAGAATGTCATGTATGTAAATGTAAAGTAAGAGATTAAATGGGGGGGGGGGGGGGCCCAGCTTAATAAATTGAATAGTATATTATAGTGCTGATATATAATATGTACATATTGCCCACTACGGTAAACCTAAGATTAATAATGGTGTAGAACAGGGTAACAATAAACTAAATTATTCTTGTGACATATTCCTTTATTAAACAATATTAATTGTGTTAACACTTTTATTCAGATTCTAGAAATTTTCTCGCGAATTTTTTTTTAAATCTTGGAATGGAACGATTTTTACCATTTTATGAGTGGCTGCTGAAATGTTTTTATCACAGCTGGGAACTTTTGAATAGGATTATTATAATCCCGATCGCTATATCTCGATATCCACTGTGTGCTCTTAAAATTAGAGGATCAAATGTATCAATGAAAAACTATATCTTTCCATTTCTTTATTTTAGTTATTACTCCATCGATCAAAGCTCCTTTATCCCCTGGTTGCAGGTACGAATACCATGGATTTGAATAAAGATCAAATTAATCTGCAGATTAAGAAAAGATCGAGATAAAGCATTGATCTTTTTAAGATCAGTCCGATTTTAAATTGTCACCAGGTCTTGGCCTAGCAAACCAAACTATACTTTGTGTTGCTCTCAAGGGATTATCTAGCTTGCAATTGAGTCGGATTATTGAATGATTCTAAAGAAGATCAAATGTATCAATGAAAAACTATATCTTTCCATTTCTTTATTTTAGTTATTACTCCATCGATCAAAGCTCCTTTAACCCCTGGCTGCAGGTACGAATACCATGGATTCGAATAAAGATAAAATTAATCTGCAGATTAAGAAAAGATCGGGATAAAGCATTGATCTTTTAAAGATCAGTCCGATTTTAAATTGTCATCAGGTCTTGGCCTAGCAAACCAAACTATACTTTGTGTTGCTCTCAAGGGATTATCTAGCTTGCAATATCCATAGCTACCAATCTTAGAATAATAATCATATTTTATTTCAAAGGCCAATCAATCAAAGTTTTCGTGCATAGAAACGAATCGAATCGAATGAGAAAATTGCCTAAAAGTTGTGTCAGAATGGTTAAAGATGATTTTAGAAACTCGAAATAGAAATGATTCCTCTGTAAAAACGAATCTGTAGATATATTTGATCAATGAAACGAAAAATGTTCTTTAAAACCTGATCCCTAATTACACATTACATTTGTTTTTATAAAATGTTTATATTTTGCTTTTTAAATATGTTTTACAAACATCAAAGAAAATTTGCAAAAATTCCTTTTAAACTCTATTTTTGGTAAAATACTTTAAACATTTGTAATCTAAATACAAAGAGAATAGAATATATATTAGAGTGGAATTTAGACAATCTCTCGGTATGAATTTTGTCAGTCTCTTTCAGCCTGAAAGAGAGTTCAAAGTGTATAAATCATGTAAATGTTCACAAATTATATGCAGTAGAGTACACAAATACAGTATGTTCCCCAGACTATCCATTTCAATTTTGAATTTTTTAAAGCTTTTAAATAAACTTTATAAAATGAATTAGGTGAATAAAAAACATCATTTACTTTTTAAAGCAGGCTAATAAAACCTGCAGGGGGAATTTTGAGGGGATTAAGCAAATTTTAATCCAGAACAAGAATAATTAAACAGAAAAATTAAAATAGCCAAACCAAATAGTTTTATGAAAAAGATAAAAATGAATACAGAATTATTACCAAACCGTATACGCCTGCTAATCTTACCTTTACTGACCTTTTTTAGCCTGGTTAAGAAGGGTCAATTAAATATCCAGGGAGTCCCACACAAAATCACAGCTAAAGGAAAACTTTAATGTCGTCTTTGAACTATAAAAAATGCTGTATTTAAATGTAAACCTAATTTTAGAATTTAAATTCTTGTTCTAACAATCACAAATATCTCAAATCCCGGCATTTCAAAAATTTCAAAAATTATTTCGAAAAAAAAATGTTTCACTTGAACGAAATTCTTAATACAAAACATGACGACTTAAAAGTCTTCTTAGATTTGTATATAATTTCCTGTTATCATTTTTCAAAAAAAAGTAGAAGTAAAATTCCAGAGTTAATAATCACAAAATATCCCGAGTCCTGGCATTTCCAAAATGTGGTCTGCATTGTTTGTGCTTGCAATATTACCCAAGATCTGAAGAATTCCGTTCAGCTTTCGACAATTATCGTTTTATTTAACAAAAATGAAATCTGAACGAGATTCTTGATAACTCCGGTAATATTGACAGCAAAAAAAAAAGACATTTTGTGATTAATGTTTCAAGAATTCCACATTTTCAATGAGGTTAACTGATTATCAGTTGTCACAAATGAGTTCAAAAATTTAAAACAACTTTCAAGTCGTCTTGCTACTGTCATGTTTCGTGGGACACCCTGTATCTCTAGTAATATTGAAAGCAAAATAAAGTCAGACCTGAGACTAGGCAGATCTAAGACCAGGCAGACCTGAGACCAGGCAGTCATGACTATAGGAAAATTATGAGATTATTGCTTCAAGAATAATTTACATGTAAAAGAAGGTTGACGAACGCATGCCATGTATTTCTTTAAGGATCAAAAATGAACTTAAAGTCGTCTTTTAACTTGGCATTTTTTAACTAAAATAAATTCACGTTGTAAAAGTTCCTGAGAGAAAACTGTGTAGATGGGATCTCCATGCTGCAGCTGAATACTGTTTCTGGCGGGAGATCTGTTGGTGGCAGCAGGCGGTGTACTGTCACGTCGTATTCTAACCCACGTCGTACAGTCGTCTTCGTTACCTCATCGCCAGATTGCCTAAGATGGTAGTTCATATCAATCAATCAATATCAATAAAATTTTGTCTGTTAATATGTCATCATGTGCTGCTCCAAAATCGTATTTTAGGAGTGAGCTCAGACTAAATCCTCATTCTTAAAAAGAGTTTAGATTCAAGAAAAAAAGGTTTTTAAAGCTTTAATGATATCAACCGTAATTGTAATAAAAATTATAAATTTCGTTTTTTTCAATCGTTTGTTTTTAAATCGAAGAAACTGCTTGTTTAGTACAAAACGATAGTCTTTTTTAATTTTCAGAAAATTGGTTTGGTCAGTTTAAAAACGACAGGTTTTTCAAGATCGTTCGAACAATTTTGATTGTTTGTTTCTGTTTATTTTTCGTTCATTTTGAAAAACGATCGTACTTTCTGTACGATCCCGTCATTTTTTCTTTCTAATAGACACCAACATTTACGAAAAATGGTGTTTCTTCACAAAAACAATGCACATCTCTAACATGTGACTTATCAGGATGTGCAAAGGAGCTGCATAGTTTTCTTTAAACTAAATCAAAGATGGTAAACATTCAACTTTTCTTTACCATTAACCAGTTCCTGAGCATTGATAATATGTTTCAGTAAAATGTAAAATTATTTCTTGAGAAGAGAGAGGCTCAAGTTTTAAATGTAATTTAGTGTAGAGAGGACACATTCAACGCTGCATTTTAATTTACCTCTTTTCTCCTCTCACATCCTCATTTTCAAACTTGGCATTTTAAAGTTAAACTTAGATTTGAAAAAAAGGGGAAAAAAGTTCTTTGAATTTTTAACATATTTATAAATATGATTTTTTGGGACTTTAAAAAGTGTGATAAAGGTTAAGTTAGATCAAACTGTCTAAACGTGTTCAATTTCATAATATTTTTTAATATATCAAACTGTCAAAAAGATGTTAAATTTTTCCTGAAGTATTTTCATTTATTTTCAAAACAATTATTATCAATTATTTTAAAAGTGTTCAAACTTAAACAATTTTTTGGAATGAAAAGAAGGGGGAGAAAAAGGGGAGAAGGCGGAGAGTAAGGATGGGCTTTATAATTACCCATAGTTCCATGTAAGATGTAGCAGTGGTTCAGGATATACACTCTTAGCTGAGCAGGATATATTTACATAACCATCCTCTGCAGTGTGGTATCTTAGCTTAGGACCTTCCCCAGGGTCTAAACAATAGAGAAATACCGTTTAAAAACCTTTATAGAAACTTTCTGCCCTTTGCTTTGCCTTTTTAAAGAACACCTACTTTCTGCAGAAGTAGTTTCTTATTCTAACTAAATCGTTGTAAATGTTAATGTAGCGTAGAAGAGTCAAATTTTTGCGGCATCACTGGCACGACTTTGTGACATCGTAGCTTCTCTTGTCATGATTTATGAACGAATGAGTATTACTAGTTTATCTGGTTACATAAAAGAAATTAAAAACATTTTAGTTCTAGTCAATAGCAATAAGATTTATAGTTGAAAACATATAAGATTTCAATCTTATTATTATTTTACTTTAGTTTGACGTGTGTATGAAGAACAGAGACATTTTAAAGAATAAATATTTAATACTGTTAATATTAATATTATTGATTTACTATGGAGAGTGAAAGTATGTAAATTCTTTGAAAAATTATTTTTTTAAGTAAAGGGTAGGAGTTAGGGATTTATTTATTTATCTATTGTTAGGACTCATAAACACTGAACAGTGAAAAAGGAAGACGACATGTTCGCATGTCTTCCTGGTTTATAGGTCTTTCGGTATGTTCAACTAGTTTTTTTGAATGTAACATTTAAAAATAGATTTGTTTGTAAGAAAATATGGTGAAAAGTTTCCAGAAATCTGTGAAATCTTACCGTAGATGATCAAGTTCAGTTTACTTCTTTTTTCTATCAGAAAAGTGGAAACCTGAAACGTATGTAGTGGAATCAAGTGGAATCAAGTGGAATCAATTGGAATCAAGTGGAATCAAGTGGAATTAAGTGGAATCAAGTGGAATCAAGTGGAATCAAGTGGAATCAAGTGGAATCAAATGGAATCAAGTGGAATCAAGTGGAATCAAGTGGAATCAAGTGGAATCAAATGGAATTAAGTAGAATCAAGTGAAATCAAGTAAAATCAAGTGGAATCAAGTGGAATCAAGTGGAATTAAGTGGAATCAAGCATGGAATCAAGTGGAATCAACTAGAATCAAGTGGAATCAAGTGTAATCAATTAGAATCAAGTGGAATCAAGTGGAATCAAGTGGAATCAAGTGGAATCAAGTGGAATCAAGTGGAATCAAGTGGAATCAAGTGGAATCAAGTGGAATAAAGTGGAATCAAGTGGAATCAAAATATGCAGGGATTTAGAAATCAAAACTTTACATTTATACATAAAAAATAAAGAATTAATTTTATTGTATGGAATCTAATAATGAAATTTTTATGTTTTTAGTATTTTTACTGGGCTTTAATTTTAGTAGTTCCAGACATAAAATTTGGAATTAGAAATTGGTAAGAAACTAGACTTAAGTTATAATATTGTTCATATCTAGTAATGTTCCTTAATCAAAACTCATTTATCAAAATTGTAATACTGTTCTAATTTGCATGCATTTAAGAATAACTAGTAATTTCTTTTTGTTCTTAAATTGCTAATGTTCCTATTATTGTTCCTGTTCCTAATACTGTGTCCGACCCACCTAAAATCCCTGTCCTAATCCTATATTTTTGTTCCTAATTCCTGAACAATCTTTTTATTGTTCCTAAATCCCTGTCCTAATCCTATATTTTTGTTCCTAATTCCTGAACAATCTTTTTATTGTTCCTAAATCACTGTTCTAATCCTTTAATTTTGTTCTTAAAATTTAAAAATCTATTTTTTTAGTCTTAAGTCATTAATTTTGACTCTTTTTGAGTCTTTAAAGTCAAAAAAAAAATATTCGCCTGCGGCACGCTTTTTTGTTCCTAAACATATTGCCCCCCCCCTCACTTAAATCCTGTATCCGCCCCTGTGCGTGCAGTTTATCAACAGAATGTTGAAAAAAATCAAATTTTAACAAAAAAATAGTCAATGTTCATTTTATTCAATTTTCATTCATTCAAAAACTTTTGGGCCAAGCTACTTTTTCTGAGATTGATTATTGCGTTGTGCAATTTTTCCAAAGATAGTTTTTTGATAATTTCTTTTTTATTATCAAGCAATATTTAACAAAAGGAATGAGTCTTATGCACAAATTGAAATTTTCTAGTACTGGTGCAATCTAATGTTGTAAACCTTAGCCATTTAAAAATTAGATCTGACAGAATTAAAAGTTTGACAAATCTACGACATAGGGTTGCAAAAGTATAGGGATTAGAAAATCAGAGTTTGTGGTTAAGACTTAATTCCTTTCATCAACGTTTTCCTTAAAATCAATAGGAAAAGTTTTTGCAAAAGGAAACCTTAATTACAAATCAAAGCTTTGAAAAAAATCATGATGATTTTTTCAATTACTATTTTCACCTTACACTCGTACTGTCCACTGAACTGGCTTCCGGGTTTATGAATCCGAACACGTTGGGAAAAAGATCCATTTCCGGCTGTATGTGTTAACTCCAGTCTAAAAACGACGAAAGATAAATGAAAATTGATTAGCTCTCCATTATAAAAGTGTACTCATCTCTAAATATTGGCATTACAACCTCTGAGAGCTCAAAATTATCTATTTTTCTGACTTTTAAATTTTTGTGGAAAGTTTTTTTTAATTTTCGTTAAAAAAATACTTTTTACCTTTTTTATCAAATGACATAAAATATAATAACTATTCAAACTAAATCCAAAAAATATTTCTCTTGTAAGCATGTACATTGTAGAGATGCTAAATCAAAAGTGTAAATTGGCCACGCTAAAAATGAAGAAAAATAACTGTCAAAAAAAAGATTATTTGAAAGAATAATTGTTGCAAAAAAATATAATAAAATAATGATCAAACTTAATTGAATCTTGATGAGTTGATGATACAAAAAAAAATCTATTTTAAAAGCAGTTTTTCGCTTAAATTTATTTGTACATGACCTGAAAAGAAAATAGATTTTAGAAATAAGAACAACCTAAAAGTGGAAGTTGAAATTGCAGTTAAGCCAAAACTGATGGTTCTTAACCGGAAGTGAGCGAATGTACCGGAAACGAATACTGCTTCCGGTTTTTGTTTTGTAAACTACAGAACAACATGTGAGCTGAGTAATATAATGTTATTCGTGAATAAACCCCATTATACATTTTCCATTACAAACTAATTAAAGGGACTGTAAAGGAAAAATGAAAGGGGGTATAGACTGAAACCTAAGAATCTCAGGAGTTGAACGATGTTGACGATGTTCCTGTCTCGAGAATTTGACATAAAACTGTGTCAAAATTAAACCAAAACGTGTATACATATATATATATACATATATCTATACATATTCTACAGAAAGGGAATCATGATTGATTCCAACGCAAAATTAACTTCAATATCAAAAATCCTTTTATATTTTTTATAACCTTGTTGTAGAGCTTTGGTGTTTCAAACTATAAATATTGCGAGAAACAAAACTTACAATTTTAATTATAAAAGAAATACATTATCTGGCTCCAAAGATATATCAGAGTTTATGGTTGGCAAGTTCATGTTCCTTTAATTAGATCTTAGGTATTTTGCCAAAAGACATTTTTCCAAGCGGTAGCTTCCCAAGTCTGTCCTAGACGCATGGCGCTGGCCCCCATTGCAGCCTGTGGCGCCTCAGAGGGCCTAACATATCCTTTGGAAAGTTGTCGCATGGCAAATTGCATATTTAGGAAGTTTCCAAACTGACCCTTGGAAAATGCCTTTGGAAAATACCTAATACATCTATTTACCTGTTTCCCCATTTTTCCCCAATAGACTGAGGTTCTCTGCCAGTACTGGGCACCCATTGTATAAAAGGTTGAGCTCCATCCTAAGAAATATTTTGCACATTATAGATATTCTAGCTTGTGAACTCAGCTTTGACTGAAAACTGAACTTTCTCAATTAAGCACATAAATCTAGAAAAATCTATAAATCTATGAAAAGTTGCATCAATGTTCAAAACTGGGTCGACTTTAAAGTGTTGCAACGCCTTGGCATATGATTTAACCCCATTAAAAAATTTTAATTTTAGAGCACTAAGTATTTTAAACAGATATTGGCAAAATTATCATAATTTTACTGAAAGAGCTTTAGATCACTGGTTAAGAAATTTCAAACAATGCGAAGAACATTCCCGTGGTTTTTCCGAGTTCCCCAGCCAAAAGATAAATCAAACCATCAAGAGGCTCACAAGTTATGATCGGAAATATAGTCAAACAAAAAGTAACTCAGAGATTACCATTTTATATATTATACACATAGATGAATTTGCGCGCTTACAAATTACAATGTATTTAAATCAGGAGAAAACATTTAAAACACTTTTTACGTTGTCTTAATGTTACTAAATTAAAACAATTTCTTCGTTTTAAATAATGTGTTGTTGTTTGTAAACAAGAATGGTTATATAAAAAAACTTTCTTAAGGTACGACACATGTTTAGTTACTGCCTGCTAATGGGCTGAACATAATAAATGGTCTTGTTGCAACTCAATCATTAATAAACTCTGGCATAATTCTGCCTCGACATGTTTTTAGAAATGAAAGCAATAAAGTGATATATTTATGAATATTTCAGAAAGGGACAATAAACTTTTGGAATATAATAATTCATTATTAAATATTTTCTTCAATTTTTAAAGGGGCAGTATAGACCTTATTTTAAGTTTCGCAACTGTACCCTTTAAGACAGAGAGAGACATCACTAATTTTCCCTCTGAAAGTTGATATTTTTAAATTGTGCTTTCTTTATAAAAGCTACATGCAGAAACAAAAAGAAAAATTGTCAAAATTTAAACTTCAGCAGTTAAAGTGGTTAAAGTGGTTAAAGTGGTTAGATCAGTTAAAGCAGTTAAAGCAGTTAAAGCACTTAAAGCGGTTAAAGCACTTAAAGTGGTTAAAGCAGTTAAAGCAGTTAAAGCGGTTAAAGGGGTTAAAGTGGTTAAAGCGGTTAAAGTGGTTAAAGCAGTTAAAGCAGCTAAAGCACTTAAAGTGGTTAAAGCGCTTAAAGCGGTTAAAGCAGTTAAAGGGCTTATAGCGGTTAAAGTGGTTAAAGCAGTTAAAAAGTGGTTAAAGCGGTTAAAGCAGTTAAAGCAGTTAAAGCAGTTAAAGCAGCTAAAGCAGTTAAAGCGGTTAAAGTAGTTAAAGCAGTTAAAGCAGTTAAAGCAGTTAAAGCAGTTAAAACAGTTAAAGCAGTTAAAGCGGTTAAAACAATTAAAGCAGTTAAAGCAATTAAAGTGGTTAAAGCAGTTAAAGCAGTTAAAGTGGTTAGAGCAGTTAAAGCAGTTAAAGCAGCTAAAGCACTTAAAACGGTTAAAGTGGTTAAAGCAGTTAAAATAGTTAAAACAGTTAAAACAGTTAAAGCAGTTAAAGTTGTTAAAGCAGTTAAAGCGGTAAAAGCAGTTAAAGTGATTAAAGCGGTTAAAGCGGTTAATGTAGTTAAAGTGGTTCAAGTGCTTGAAGCAGTTAAAGCAGTTTAAGCAGATAAAGCAGTTAAAGTGGTTAAAGTAGTTAAAGTAGTTAAAGTGCTTAAAGCGGTTAAAGCAGTTAAAGCAGTTAGAGCAGTTAAAGCAGTTAAAGCGTTTAAAGCGGTTAAAGTACTTAAAGCAGTTAAATCAGTTAAAGTGATTAAATCAGTTAAAGCAGTTTAGGTTAAAGCGGTTGAATCCGTTAAAGTGGTAAAAGCAGTTAAATCAGTTAAATCAGTTAAAGCAGTTAAAGGATGCACTAATGTGAATGGCACATGCCGCTCTATAAAGTAAATATAACTTAAAAATCCATCTTCACTACAGTCACTTTAATATTGTTTTGACGACTTTAAAATAAAAGTTATTTTGGCTAAATAAGGATAATTATAATGATAGTCACAACTGACAATAATAATAAAAATAATTTTAATAATAAAACTAATACTTTTAATACTGATCACGATAATGATAATGAAAATAATGATAGTTAAAGAGATAATAAATCAAATCATAATGACAATAAAAGTAGTGATAATAAACATTATAAAAGTATAAAAACCATAATAAACGATGAAGAAAAAATAAGAATAAAAAAGTTTGAAAAATAGTTTAATAAAAAGTGTCTGGACACAATAGAGAAAAGTTTAGAATTTATTATTTAATGGAGAAGAACATAACAATAAACACTAAACAGACCTTTCAAATAAATAAATAGATTTTTATTTTTCCACGTAGGGGAATAACATTTAAAGGGACTTTAGACGTAATTGCAAGTGACCCATTTAGAGAGAGTTAAATATTCAATATCTTTGTCTGACCCACAATAGACTAGCATCGTTTTTCAATATAAAAATGTGGTTTATTTGGAAAACTTCCTCTGTAGTTTCTGCAGCCTAGATCTGCAAGTCATTTTCAAAAAGAAGCCACAAAGTAAATATTGAAATTATTTTGTTTTTTTATCTTGCTATTCATTACTTTTAGTGATGGGCATTAGCTAGATTAGACGCGCAAATAGACATTCAGCAAGGGAAAGTGGGAAGGCCAATTATTACGCGCGTATCGCGAAAATTTGTTTTTGTCCTCCCCCCCCCTAAACATTTCTAGGTGGGGGATGCAAGAAAAATGTGTATTATACTCAACCATGGAAAAATTACCTTACCAATTCAGGATATTTTTGGGGAAAGTTTTTATATTTGGGGGCATTTATTCAGTTTAGGGCAAAGGAATTGAGTCTTTGCAACAAACTCGCATTTTTAAATCCCAATTTCTTTGAAACCAAATATCGTAGACCGTAGATATTTCAAACTATGAATTCTGGTGGATCAAACAATGTAAGTTTGTAATATGAAAGGTATGCATCATTTGGTTGTTGAGATTTTGGTACTATAAAATTGGAATTTGGGACAAAAACTCAATTCCTTTGTGTGGGAACAATCTTAAACTCTTTTTCAGGGAAAAACTTTTTTTGGGGTGCAATTTTTTTTGTTGGGGAAAATCAATTAAATCTTTGTTTTTCGGGCAAATTTTATCTTTGGGGGCTTTTTTAGTTTGGTCAATTTTGTGTATGGGAAATCTGAAATCTTTATTTTTTGTTGGGGGCAAACTTTCTAATTTTTTAGCATTTTCTAAATAAAATAAGGTGCATTTTTTTAGATAGAGCTGAAAATTTTGAAGTTGGTTGTATTTATAGAACATTTGGGGATACAAAAATTTAATTTAGGTACAAATTAAAAGTATTTGGTGACATTCTAAAAGAAACAAGGGTTACAAATGTTGAATAAAGGGGAAACTTTAAGTCTGGTGGGGCAATTTGAATAAGAATGTGTGAGTGTAATTTTAAAAATTCAAATTCGAAGGCATTTTTTAAAAAAAGGGGGAAAATAAAAAGAATCTGAGCTTAAATTTAAAAATTTATAGTTGAATTTGAGTTTGCTTAAAGAGGGGAGGTTTAAAACTGTGGGGGCATTTTTTTCAAATTTTCGAGAAATTTAGCTATTTTTTGGAATTATATGGACCCCTGTTAAGGACTCTTTCCCCCCTCCCTACAGCGGGGGGCAAACTTTCTCATGGGGGTCATGCCTTCCGATAATTTGATTAGCGGGGGGCCTGGCCCCCATGTCCCCACCTTAATCCAATGATTTAAAATTTTGTTCTGTGGAAGTTTACTTTTGTAAAACATGCAAATTTGTTATCCTATGTAAAATATAATGCAAGAACGAACCAAAAACTATTGTTTTAAAAACCAAATAATTATCGTTTTAAAACGATCGGTTTTTATATTTTCTTCTAGGGAATCAAGTTTGCATGTTTGATAAAAGCAATTTCTACAGAATAAATTTTTATAAGGTTGGAGACTTCTCATATTGTCGTAAAATCTTATAAAAGTTTAAAAAACATTAAAAGTTTCTGTAACGAATCTGACTATTGCTAGTCCCTAATTACATTAATTAAATACATTTAATGAAAAAAGTTTTTACACCGTCAAAGTAAGGTGTTTTTAAATTGATTTAAATAATTTAAAAGCGCTTCTAGCTTTGATTATCAAGGTTAAAAAGATGCCTTAAAAAATTGAAAAACAGTGCAGAACCAATTATTCTTTAGACAAACAAGAAAACCTCATAATACTACCAATCAACTAACTACAGAGTTTAGTAACAATTCCACTTGCAAAACTTTTAAAACTATATTTTATATCGAGCTGTTTTACCTGAAAATACCACTTTACATCGAGTTGTTTTATCTCGCTAGAATTGAAAGCAAAGGTGCATGTTAAATCAATATAGTCTCTAAAATTTCAATCATCAAAATTGCAACATAAAAAATTCAAATTCAATTTTCAAGTTAAATGTTTGAAATGATGTTCCTATATTTATGTTTTATTCACAATCTAATGAAGTGCAAAGGATTAAAGGCCTGTTATAGTGTAATTTCAAACGACCCTCCATGCAAATATGGCAGTTATTCAATTTAAAACTAAATATATGCATCATTCCATTATCAGTGGGTTTAGAAAACGACATTTTTTAAATTCGTACGATGTCTCCAAAGTTTTGGGTTAAGCTATATTTAATTTTGATTTAGCAACAATCCGCGAATAAAGGACTTTGCAAGAAATAGATTTTCTTTTAATTTCATTCTAATTCTTCATTAAAAGTTTTTTTTGTAATTTAAACAAATTATTAATTTTTTTTAATTAAATTTTGTCAAATACAGTTGAATAAACAAATTGTAATTATTCTAATTATTTATTAATTTGAATACATTTCAATTCGGTAAATACTTGAAATTTCATTAAATTGCTTTTAAACAAATGTTAAACAAAGGATTGAAGGGACTGTAACCGTAATTTAAAGTGACCCTTTTGAAACCTAACAAAATGTAGCATCTTTGCATGGAGGGTCACTTGTATTACGCGTACAGTCCCTTTAATCCTTTGTTTAACATTCCCAAAATCAAGACTTTATAAAAAAAAGTGTAACTAAAGATAGAAGGCAGACTCCTCTTCCTTTTAACCTTCCTGCAAACCAATTAAGCCCTTACTAAACCATTAAACCCTGCAAATACAAATCAAATCCTTTTTTTCTTCAAATTCAAATTATAATCGAAAAATAACAAATAATCAAACTTTAAAAACAAATTTTGATGATTTTCCTAGAATTTGTTTCCACAATCCAGGGACCTTCCAGGGGCTCTATATGTAAACAGTTCTCACCTATAATGTTAAAACAGCTTTAAATGCGTATGATGCGTCGATTGAAGATTCTAAGATTTTCCTTTGTTTAGAATATCTGTAAGTTATGTTTCTTTTTTACTTCTTTAATCTTTATGTTTCTTATTTACTTCTTTAATCTTTATGTTTCTTATTTACTTCTTTAATCTTAAATGTTTCTTATTTACTTCTTTAATCTTTATGTTTCTTATTTACTTCTTTAATCTTTATGTTTCTTATTTACTTCTTTAATCTTTATGTTTCTTATTTATTTCTTTAATCTTTATGTTTCTTATTCGCTTCTTTAATCTTTATGCTTCTTAATTACTTCTTTAATCTTTATGTTTCTTATTTACTTCTTCTTTAATGTTTATGTAAAATACAATATGCGGCAAACTATATATATATATGCTATGTATAGAAATATAAAAAATATAAAAGTAATATCTAAAAGTTTTCATCTGTTACCCCCCTCCCTTTCACTACAGGCTAGTTTCGCCTATTTTGCTTTAAATACTTGAAGTATATAAAGTTTTATTTCAACGTCTGTCTAGGAAACTGTTTTAATTGACAATGCATTAAACTTTTCCAATTAATGTTTCTGGACTATCTATCTGTCTATCTATCTATCTATCTATCTATCTATCTATCTATCTATCTATCTATCTATCTATTCATCTATTTATCTATCTATTCATTTATCTATATCTATCTATCTATATCTCTATACTAAAATCTATCTATCTTCTATCTCTTACACTAGCTGAAGGGCCCGCCGTTGGAAAGCAAAATTTTGAAAAAAATATTTTTTTAAATTATATTTTTTTAGCCTTTAACATCATCCGGCCACCCAAGAGTGTCCAAAAAAAATGCAGCCCAAGTGGTCCAGCATATCTATGTACGAATGTCTTGTTTTAATATTTAGATATATTATATGTTTTATTTAAAACAAAACATGCCATATGTATATGTTGCATATAGCCGGCCAAACGGCCAGACCGAATGGGATAAAACTTTTTGTGGACAGTCATCGAAAAAAAATTCCAATTTTTTATTTGTTTTTTATTTTTTCTATTTTTTCCCCACTGGCAACGCCGGGCCCTTATTATTCTAAAAATAGATATAGATATAAATATATATATATATTGATGTAAATAGGTTCTCCTGACAGATCTACTGTTAATTGTGTCTGTNAAGTGAAAAGTTCTTGAATTATTTTGAAGTGAAAAGTTCTTGAATTATTTTGAAGTGAAAAGTTCTTGAATTATTTTGAAGTGAAAAGTTCTTGAATTATTTTGAAGTGAATAAATCTTGAATTATTTTAGGTTTCTTGTATTTTTTTATTGGTTTATGAAATGAAACTCAAAGAAATGACTTGTTGTTTAAGATTTAAAGAGATTTCAGTTATTTGGAAAAATATTTTACCTAGAAATTATGAAACATAATTTATTTTATAGTTATATTTAATTAAATCGGAAAATATTTTAGCAAGTTTTAGTATTTTTAATGAACCTTTTTCATTTATGTTTAGTAAAAATCTGTTGATCAGTATTCCTGAGAGAAAATTGGATTTGATTTAATATGATAAGAAAATCAAAAGGGGAAAGGTGACCTTCCATTCAAAGAAGTTCAGTTCAGATTCAAAATGGTACCCATGGTACCCTTTAAACCTTTGACATGTCTCGTAATTCCTAAATCTTTACAACCTAATTGTGTTACACTACTTAATCTAACAGAATTTATAGTTTGAAATAGGTCTACAAAATCGGGTTGTAAAGATATAGGGCCGGATTAGCAAATCAGAGTTTGTGGTAAAACTCTATTTCTGTCCAGGGGATCACCATAGTTTCAGTAGAAGTAAATATTTCCATTAACTGATAGCGCCAATTGAAGGATTCATTACTATCTAATTGGATAATAAGATAGATAGAAAGATAGATGTTACCGAAAGAAAGATAGATGTTAATTGTTACCGTCAAACTATTTCTATTGGTTCAGAATAGACACCAAACACATGACTGAACCCTGATTGGATCAGGCGCTAATGGACTTGGCATACAGGAGTGTTAATGTTTATGGAACATTAAAATTAAAAGTTTTGACCTTTATCACTTTGGAAAATCTGCCAGTTTAAATTGACGAATCTGCAAAACTTAGTTTCAATGAATAACAAAAAATGCCAACTTCACAAGCAGTAGTTTGAAGCTAAATTGTCAATAGAAAGGCGAAGCATCCTAGAAATATGTTAAAAATATATTCTTGTCCGTTAAATAATAACGAAGAGGTGCTGACATGGCTGTACTCTTTGTCTATTTGATGTCTAGACACAAGATCATTATATATTGTACTTCAATTTAGACCTAAGCACACTTATCTTTCCTAGTAATACATTGTTTTATTTCATTTTTTTATTTGAAAATTGATTCCTTGTAGTAAAAGCTAACAAGAGAAAAGAATGCGAATTAGAAGCAATTTATCATTTTGAGGCGCAAAACTATGATATCTTCCTTATTCCTAATTCGATTTTTGACCATCGTGAATCGGATGGCTTAAAGTCCCTTCTAAAAAAAAATATGTAGAAAAACGTTTCTTAAATAATATCATGTCAAAATTCAACCGAAAACATTTCATACTAATAAGAACATAGGTATACCGGATACCCAGCCCTAGCCTTCAAGTGTATAATGTATGTATAAGATATATATATATATTTATATATAGTATAAGGCCAAATATGAACATTAAACAGAGCAGAGTAAACACTTCACTAATGCTTGTATATTTATTTAGAATATATATAATATATTTTATACAAAATAAATATTCTGCAGCAACCATGCTTGAATATTATATTCAACAGCAATTCTAAATTATAATTTTTAGTTACAGCGAGACCCATCAACTGTGGAATAGAAGGACGGCTGTAAGATTTAAGTTTTGATTTGTCCAGTGAACACCACACATCTGTATCTATATATTTAAAGTTGTAATCTCTGTTTGTCTGTTTGTATGTCTAATTATAATTGATAAAACCCTATTGACTGATTGCCTCAAATTTTGATTTGGGAACTCAGGAGAACCAAGGGAATGTTCTTAGCTTGAGTTTAGTGGCTGACTCTTAAAGGGAAAAATAGCTAAAATCGTAAACCAAGCACGGGTAAACGGCGGGAGTAACTATGAGTACCCTGGGCAACGCTGGGTTTCTTAAGCTTGTACAAATATATCTCACTTGATAAAATGGTTTTGAAACTACGGGTAAAACTAATTCTGTTAGAAATCATCAAATAAACAATTATTTATTAATTATTCTTTGTAGTTATTTATTCTATTTTTACTGTTTATATTTAAAAAGTGTTCCACGGAAAGAAAATTGTCTTGCAATTTGCGAAATCACGCAAAAATTAAAATTATAGTGCGAACAATTGCGTGAAAACAAAATTCTGCGAAAAAATCTTTAATATTCAAGGAAGCGCAAAAAACTTGAATTGAGGGTAATATCCGTGTTTCCTTATTCCATGATTTGGTAAATCTTTGGAAAAGAAACAATTGATTGTGGTTAAAATATGAAATAAATGTTAAAGGAAATTATGGAAATAAAATCAAATGATGGAGAGAGGAGAGAGGAAGACATGAAGACAGGAAAGGGGGGCTACTGGGGAGTGATAAAAGGAAAAATAAAAAGATTGAGAAAAAAATAAATAGAAACGAAGAAAAAATAGCATTTGAATTTGACAGCAAAAATATTTCAATGATAATTGTGAGTAAATATTTTGTAAAGAACTTTTCTGAAATGTCTACAAAAGGTTGTTCTTAGAAAGAAGGAAAAAATGTCTTCTCATAAAAAAGCGATTTTAAAACATTTTATTAATTGGCTGGAAAATTACTAAAAACATTTTTCTATTGAATGCATATTCCGAAAAAAAAACTAAAATAAAAATGTGCTNAAAAAAAGGTTCGCGGATTTTTTTGGGCCATTGAAGTACCAAAAAAAAATAAAAATTTTCAAAAAATATTGAAAAAACACCATATAGAAGAGTTGGGCAAAAAAAGTACAATTTTTACTCACCCTGTATAAAGATAAGCGGAGAAGCAGAAGCAGTGGAAGAGGAAGACGGCTTTTACCCTCAAATTATGATTTCATATTCCACATTATTATGGTTCCCACTGTAGCTATATTTATTTTCTCTAACCTTTTAATAAAATCTAGTATGAAAAATATCTCTATGTGTAATAAATATATATTTTTATACTCCTATGTCTAGATAAACAAATCTAAAGTATAATAGTTCCTCTCTATTCTCTACAGTTATCTTACACAAATGAAAGGCTTTTAAGCTATCAGATGGGAGGGCTGGGGCATTCAGGGGGCGGGGGAGAAAATCAAGGAAAAGAAAAGAAAAAACAGGTTAAAAAGAAGAAAAACGTGATTAGGAAAAAGGAAAGGACTAATATCGGGGAAGTAAGGGAAGGGATGAAGTGTACCTCTAGATTGTGGTTGCGACTCTTGCACTTCGTGCAGAACGTTTTCTGGCCGGACTTTGAACA